GCATTTATTATTTATAGATGTATTTTTGTGTTTCAGGGGAGTGTATGGACACTTGCAGGGAGACCTGCCCTGGGCATTTTGTGATGAATGTATTGATGAGCAGTATGCAAAACATGTTGGTCAGTGTCTTCCCGTCTCTGATGGCATTCACAACAGCAGACTAACTAGTCTGCGGATCAAATATGGCCGACCCACTTGAATGCTTGGTGCGTAATTTCCTGTGGGTATTCTATTCAGGGGAGCATTTATGTGGGATGCCATATTTGATCCACGGACTAGTTAGTCCTCTGTTCTGAATGCAGCCTCTATCTCCTCCTTTCCACACTCTCTCTCTCTCTCTCTCACACACACACAGTTAAGACTTATACATAAAGTAACCACGTCTGCCTCGGACAACCACGATAATTGCCAGATAAATTCCCTGGGTCAAATATTAAAACAATGATAAGTAAGTTAATAAACAAGAGGAAATATGGTTTTAAAGAATGTACTACTTTACAATACAAACAAGTATTTTTATATGATTTAGGTGCCAAAAAGGGGGAGATAGCCTTAATGAATGGATTGACTGTGAACATGCACATAATGATGGTAAGGTCACGTAGCAAACACGTGCACACACATAGACCCCATTCCCGTAGATTTTAGATCGATCTATCCCTGCGGGGAGTCTCACTAGATTACTGTCAGCTTAGTCGACTTAAGGGTCTGTCCCGCCTACTAAAAGCTGTAATGGGGTAATTAACTATGGTGCGCACTCGACTGACTGCAATATATCGTGAACATCCAGGGAGTTGGATCTATCTTAATCTCTGGATCGATCTAAATCTCTGGGAATGCACCCAAACATACACTTACACATGAGCAATTCATGATTAGATTTACAGATACACATTTATGTATACGTGCTCAAAACTAATCCACAAACCATACCGAAAATAGTTATATTTTAGAAATTTTATTTATTTTTTGCTGACTTGTAAAAGTTCAGAAAAAAAAACACAGAAAGTTAAGTTGCTCATTTGTATTTTACTTTCTTTTTCCACAGATATCATTTTACAGGCCCACCCCACAGAGGTATAAGATACTGTGTGAAAGTAAAGCATTTCCTAGTGACCATGTAAGTGTTAGTGAAATGGGGGTGAGGTGAAGGATTTTTACATGGATAATGAGTGCTTTTTTTTTCTTCTTTTGTCTTATTTGTTTATTAAGTTGCTTTATTTGTTTTGTTGATTTTATGTAGTTATTTAACAATTCATTTTTTTATTTTATGTATTAATTAATTAATATTTAAGTAGCATAATTGTTGTTGTTGTAATCACAAACTATTTTTTCACCAAATAAATGATATTCCAATTTGAAGGACTGTAACAATTATCTGTATAGAAATGAAATCATTGATCAACACAGTACAGTTAAAGGCAAGTTCTTTTTTTGTTTTAGTACATGTTTGAATCTCAGATACGACTGCGTGGATATGATCCAGCAGCAGCCATGATTTGCATGGAACCAAGAGAGGTAAGCTTGTCTTCTGTCACAGTGACATCTGGTGTCTGTCTTGTATGTCTTATCACAGTGACATATGGTGTCAGCATTGTACAATATATTGCATCAATTTAGTATTTTTTTTTATTTTATTCTAAAGAAGCAAAATGATTTATAAAAGAAAGAAAATTGTAATACAGCTAAATCGCCTCTTATAGGGTGAGGAAACATTGCGCACAGAAGACATTATTGCCAAAATAGAGCAGGAAGGAGACGGCATTGCTCTGGTGTGTTTTCCTGGGGTGCAGTATTACACGGGGCAGTTCTTCAATGTGGCAGCTATTACTAAGGCAGGGCATGCTAAAGTGAGTATTCATTTGATAATTACTCAATATTTACCAACAACATGAATCAATAATTTTATACTCCCCCCCCCCCCCCTGGCCCCCCAATCCATTAAAATTTTTGCACTACCCACTCTGTTCCCTAAAAGGGGGTTTACCAGATTGTGTGGTTGCCAGTACCACACAATTGTCAGATCCAGATCCAGAGATATTTTCTGACAGTCTTCAAAGTTATCTTTGTTGATCCATCCTCCATTTTGACCATCTTCCTACAGAAATAAATTAGATACCTGTCAAGAAGACTTCAAAACCTGACCATCTTCCCAGTAGACGGCCTCAATCTGCACCTCAGTGTTAACTGTAGGTTTTTTTCATCTGCTCCAGGTCCATTTCGGTGACTATTAATATGAACACATCATTGGTATCATTCCTACATTTCAGGGGTGTGTGGTAGGCTTTGACATGGCCCATGCTGCGGGAAATGTTCCTCTTTATCTCCATGACTGGGGTGTGGATTTCGCCTGCTGGTGCTCTTATAAGGTAAGGATGACATCCCAGAGAAATTGAATATTACCTGTGGTTGCATTTAAAACTGGACTTTGTCCAGTTCAGATTACTGCACTTCCAGACCATCTGGCCCCTGCATTGTACCAAATCACATATGAAACCCCACCGTGCCTGGTAAATTAAGATTTCACATAAAGGGGATAACAATTGTTCACTTTGGCCCCCCAAAAAATGTTTTTCCTAGGGCAATGGACATTTTTCCAATACTTACCAGTGGTTAATAAATGACAAAGTTTGGTTTTTTGTAGTAGTCCCTTAAGTGACTATTAAAGGGGGTTGCCATGTATGGAGTTTACGTGCTCTGATGACAAGCACAGATTTCATAATAATTGTGATAACTGTAGTTTTGGGGTAAAACAGAATTTATTATATTTCTATGAGTTGTTAATAACGTATATATTGTGAAATATGAACCGAATACAAAGAGATGTTATCACTTTAATCATTCTGGTAACGTCAGGCTGTATCTAGTTTAACTACAGTGTAGCTTAAAGTATAGTTTTAAGGAGTCCTATTTGATTACAAAACATTGCCGTACAACACCAATAAAGTGATAGAGAGAAAGTGAGACTGGAGGATAGACAGATTTATGTAAGTAGGAAAGAAAGAGAAATAATTTTGGAAGAAAAGGAGTGGGAGATATGGTGGACATTTAACATACACATATACTTGCCTTTACCTTCCTCAGTACATGAATGGAGGTGCTGGAGCCATAGCAGGTGCCTTCATACACCAGAAACACATGAACAATGACTACCCCAAGCTCCTGGGATGGTGGGGACACAAAATAGCCACCAGATTCACCATGGACAACAGTAAGTAATCTCTCTCTCTCTCTCTCTCTCTCTCTCTCTCTTTACACACACACAGGCTGGCGGTACATATGGTTTTAGTCCCTATCAGTATTCGTCCCCAATCAGTATTCCTCGCCAAGTCATTGTTACTGCTTCTCCTAAACTACAGGAGCCCCTTTTCTTGTATGTAGGTCACATATATTCTCAACTCGATCCATGTGAATTTTGGGCTTTGGTGGTGCTAAGTCTAGGGTCATCTTTCATTTCTGTGAGTTTGGGGTCAGTCGGTGCATTTTCTCGGGAGAAGCAGCCATTAGATGCCAAAACTGAAAATTCTCTCTCATTCTGAAACTGTTAATGCTAGTTTTCCTTCTGTTTTCATTTAAAGAACTTTTTTACTCCTTTTCGAAGTTCTTCGCGCATTTCAATTCAAAATCTTTCACTGTAAATTTTTACAGGGAATTTTGACCGCTCTTGTAAGAAGGTCAGTTTCAAAATAATGCTTTCTGAGGACGTGTCCAACAAAAGCCATTTTCTTTCAGTAGATAGAATGGAGTTGTCGTTCTTTGCAATGCATCTTGTCCAGTACCCACTCATTATGTCGGGCATCGTCCCAATCTGATGTTAACTTAATGCAATATTAGCCGCCGTCGATCGATTACGATCGCAGTTCAATTCGTCCAAGGTTCGAGGTCTGAATATACGCAAGTAAACGCGTGAGAGAACGAACTCAAGTCCCGTGCAAGGTTTCTTACTATAAAATAATATTTAATTCTGATGGAATTTCAAATGTCTGGAAAAAAATAACATGAGGTTTAGTGAGGGACAGACAACTTCTGGTCAAACATGACTTCATTTTGTGAAATTCGAACATGTGGAATATTTTAGCACCTCCCATTTCATGAATTTCAACCAAAATGATTTGTTATTTCAATTAATTGTACCACCAGTGTAGGCGCTGGCGGTACACATGGTTTTTAGTCCTGTCTGGTCCGTTCCGCCGCCATGTCGCCATTACCTAGTCTCCCCCTAGACTACAAAATTTTGAACATCTAGAAAAGATAACATAAGGCTTAGTAAGGCAGACAACTTCTGGTCAAAATGACATTTCCTGAAGTTCGAACTTCTGGAATTTTTCACCACCTCCCATTTTATGAATATCAACCTTTTCTGTATTTCAGTTATTATTTTCTAAATTTATGGCTCGTTACTGTAACTCCAAAATTGCAAGATTTTAGTCCCTTATATCTCCAAAAGTGGCAGAGATAAGGCCATAGTTACTATTGAACTTGAATAGGAAGTCGTATACTGGCAATCTTAATGTGACATTGACATTAACCTTTGGCCTACTTTTCATCATGAACTGAACTTTGCAACATTTAAGTCCCTTATATCTCCAAAACTGGCAGAGACAGGGCCATAGTTACTATTGAACTTGAATAAGAAGTCATATATACTAGCAATCTAAATGTGACATTGAAATTGACCTTTGACCTACTTTTCATCATGAACTGAACTTTGCAACATTTAAGTCCCTTACATCTCCAAAACTGGCAGAGATAGGGCCATAGTTACTATTGAACTTGAATAGGAAGTCATATACTGGCAATCTAAATGTGACATTGAAATTGACCTTTGACCTACTTTTCATCATGAACTGAACTTTTCAACATTTAAGTCCCTTTTATCCCCAAAACTGGCAGAGATAGGTTCATAGTTACAATTGAACTTGAATAGGAAGTTATATACTGGCAATCTATGTGACTTTGAAATTGACTGTTGACCTACTTTTCACAATGTACTAAATTTTTTTACATTTTAGTCCCTTATATCACCAATCTGGCAGAGATTTGGCCCTAGTTACTATTGAAGTTGAATGTGTGTGTGTGGTTCGTCCATCGGAATCAACAAGGACCATCTAGTCATCCAGTGAGTTAGTGCATTGTGCTCTGTGGGTGCGCAGATGGCTGACAAGGCCATTTTTGCTCGAAATGATTTGCTGCAGTGTGGGCAGGAAATGGTGGTGCTGTCAAGGGTTTGCTGGTACTGCTTTTCCTGACCTGTCTTTGTTTTTCTGCCTTGGTAATTCGGTTGGTTTCATAGGCTTTGGCACCAGAATGAAGAACTGAGCGCCACTTTCGTCTGTTCATTGCAGACATCTCCCAGGTGTCATGGGTGATATTGAAGGCCTTTAGCGAAGCCTTCAGGTTGTCTTTGAAGCCCTCCTTTTGACCACCAAGGGAGCACTTTCCCTGTGGAAATTTGCCACACAGCAGTATCATGGGTAGTGGATAGTCTGGCACATGAACTACATGGCCTGCCCAGTGCAGCTGGGCCTGTATTAGAAGAGTGAGTACGCTGGGGATGTTTGCTTTTTTGAGCACCTCTGTGTCTGGAATCTTATCTTGCCACTTCATGCCAAGAAGTTTCCTTAGGCTGTTGGCGTGAAAGTGATTCAACTTCCTGACTTGACGATTGTAAACAGTCCAGGATTCACAACCATAGAGGAGAGTAGTGAGGACTATGGCTTTGTAGACTTTAGGCTTTGTCCCCAGGGTGATACCTCTCCTGTCCCAAAAATTCTTGTGGGAGTCTGCCAAAGGCAGAGCTGGCTTTGGCAAGTCTGGCACTTACCTCACCATCAATGACAACAACAAGTGAAAGTGTGCTTCCCAGGTATGTAAACTTGTCTACCACATTCAAACTCTGACAGTTGATGAGGATATTTGGTTCAACATATGCCTTTCCCGGAGCTGGCTGGTGCATCACCTCAGGCTTTTTTGTGCTAATTGTGAGGCCAAAATTGGCAACTGAGAACCTGTCAACACTGTGTTGCATCTCGGCTTCCGAGGCAGCATTGAGGGCACAGTCATCAGTGAAATAGAAAGTCACTGATGGTGATTGACTTCACCTTAGTTTTTGCTTGAAGTCTTTGAAGAGAGATCCATCTGTATGTTATCTAATACCAATGCCTACATCAGCATTTTTGAAGGTATCTGTCAGTATGGCTGAGAACATGAGACTAAACAAAGTACAGGCAAGAACACGCCCTTGCTTAAGTTCATTTGAGACCGCAAATGGTTTTGAGGTCTTTCCACTGTCTCTTGCCAGCATCCCATCATGTAATTGTTGTGTGATTGTGATGAACTTTCTGGGACACCAATACTTTGCCATGATTTACCAAAGGCCATTTCTGCTTACAGTATTAAATGCCTCGGTCAAGTTGACAAAGGTGGAATAAAGGTCAACATTTTTGTTCCTGGCACTTCTCTTGGAGCTGCCTAGCTGCAAACACCATGTCAGTAGTTTCACATTCTTTCTGGAATCTAAACGGGCTCTCTGGAATGAGCCCTGCTCAAGGTGGGCTATGAGACGATTAAGTAGGACTCTGGCTAGGGCTTTGCCTCCAATGGACAGAAGTGAATCAACAAGGACCACTATGATTGTCACACGCCTGACAACTTCTTAGTCTCTTATATCTCCAAAACTGGCAGAGGTGGGGCTATAGTTACTATTGAAGTTGAATAGGAAGTCATATACTGGCAATCCAACTGTCACCTTAAAATTGACCTATCTACTTTTCACCCTGAACTGAACTTTGCAATTTTTATGTCCAAAACTGACAGAAATACACCCATATCTACTATTGACCTCAAATAGGAAGTCATACTGGCAATCTAAATGTGACCTTCAAAATTGACCTTTGGTATACTATTCTCCATGAACTGAACTTTACAACATTTTAGTCCCTTATATCTCCAAAACTCCAAGGCTATTCCTATTAAAGTTGAATAGGAAGTCGTATACCAACAATCTTAATGTGACCTTGAAATTGACCTTTGGCCTACTATTCACCATGAACTGAGCTTAACAAGGTTTCCATGCCTTTTTATCTCCAAACCTAGCAGAGAGATGACCATAGTTACTAATGAGCTTGAATAGGAAGTCATATACTGGCAATCTGTGATCTTGAAATTGACCTTTGACCTACTTTTTGCCGTGAACAGCACTTCACAAATTTAGAAAAAAACTAATTTTTACCCATGATTTTGTTTTAAATTTTAATTTTCAACAAAAAATATTGAGAACTTTTGTTTACTGCATTTTGTAGAGCTTGTCAAGCTCAACACTGGAGGTGGTGTCCTTTTTTTGCTTTTCTATATGAATGCCCCTACTCCAGCTGGTGGTACTTTACCCAGAGGCAGCATCGTCTCTCTGATCCTATATTTATTGAACTTAATAGGAAATAACATACTGCCAATGTAACTGTGACCTTAAATTGACCTTGGACCTACTTTACACAATAAACTGAAGTAGGCAACTTTTTTGTCCCTTATATCTCCAAAACTGGCATAGATATGCCCATAGTTACTATTGAACTTTAATAGGAAGTCATATATGGCAATCTTACTGTGACCTGGGTTCCATATAGGACATGACTCCACTGCAAATCAAATGTCTTTCTTCAAGCTGTTCTTTTAGTCTTAACTCCTTACCGATTATTTTTTTTTTTTATTTACTTGGTTACCTTCCCTGAGTGTCCTGACTCCTTTTCTGAAGCTCTTCCCGGCATTTTAACTCGTCTTTCACACTGAATGAAAAAATTAAAAAAACACTTTAACACAAAGAATGTTTCTCTGGCTTTCTTTTCCAACTCGTTATACTTTTTTCTATAATAATATATATTTATTTAAAGTCTAAAATCCATTAAATATGTTCTGTAGACTTTACAAACTAAAAACTTTAAACACAGTAAGATGAATTGAATTAATAAAATTATGAATTAATAGTCTGAGTTAAGATAATGATGTCCAGTTAATATTTCAGAGTTATAAAATGTTCTTTAATAAATTTTGTTAAAAAGGTATATTTTTAAAGCTTTTTTTTTAAATCCTTCACTCAGCTAATGCTTCTCAAGTCTACAGGTAATTTATTCCACTCAAGGGTGCCGCGTACTGGAATGATTTTTCGCCAAAAGATTTTAGTCTTGCGTTCTGTGGTTTTAGTAATAATTGATCTTTAGATCTTA